ACGAGCCCACGAGTCTTTAACCTCAGTGCAGTGCTGACGTTTGACGGAAATTCGTGTGGTAGACGGTAAGAAACGAAATTCGATGACGTAGTCGGTAGACAGTGACGTCACTTTACCGGCCCCGGTGGCCCGTCGGAAAAATACCGAAATTGTTAATCAGGCCTTTTGGGGGGTCAAATGTAAAATAAAAATGATATATAATAATTATGAAGGTATTTTATTTTATTTCTTTCATTTTATAATTGATAGTTTAGTAATACTGCTTTATGATGAGTTGGCACGAGAGGATGACGTCTACTAGGAACAGAAAGGCAGTCATTTTATCCTGTTCCATGTTTGAGTTCCAGGGGCGGATCCAGGAATGTCAAAAGGGGGAGGGTCCAAGAAGGTTTGGGTGGGGAAACCTGGCCAGCTAAGCGAGCCCATCTGGGGGTAGCTATAAGCCCCCCTTGAAAATTTTTTGAAATCTTACCAATATCATGGACATTTTGAGGCCATTTGAAGCCATGTGCACTTGATATTATGGGATATTCTGAGGTCAATAGTAATTGATTTTTACTATACAAAAAATGCCTGAGTGCAATACTGCAATAAGGAAAAGTAATGGAGTTTTCTAATGAAAGCCCCCCCGGCCTGGATCCGCCTTGAGTTCAGTGCCTTTCATATGACTTTCACTGTAGCCTTTGTCAAAACCATCTACACGCCGTTATACATCGACTTTCGGTGAGTCCTTTACTGTTAGTTCTTTATTTGTTATTATTTTATCAGATATTTTAAAATTATATATATTATAATAGTTATCCTTTTAAACAGTTTATTTTCTATGATATTCACTCGTGGTATCACTACATTTTCTACTTCTTGAACTCTATTATCTATTTTATTCATTATAATACTGCTATTACTGCTCCACCTGATTTTACAGTTGTTTAATTATTGTGCAATAATAATAGTGAAAAGGAAATGAATTGTTACTGATATCCGATACATATATATATAATCACATTTAACAAAGAAAACGTTTTTATGTCGTCATGGTTACGTAGCCAGTCACAACGCGAGGAAGATAACCAATCAGAGCGTTCGGTTAAACACAGTCGGAATTACGGCAGCACCTTCCTCAGTGTGGTTTTGTACAGGGGCGCTGGCCATCACTTGGAGCGTCGAGGTATACAAGTACTGGTGTGTTGTAGCAGTGTCGTTGTCTCTCGTCAGTGACCCATATTCCTGTGTGTTAATCGTATTGCTTTGTAAGAAATGAGAATCTACGCCGTTTTGGAAGTGTGAGAACGTTATTGACAGGTGGAAATAGCAGGTGTGTGAGGTATACGTAAATATATTGTGAACTGTGATGTGTATACAGCACTGATCCTGACAGAAAGTGTGGATGAGTTAAACTTTTGACCAGTCAGAAAATAACTGAAGATATGACTGTTAAAAACTGGTAGTTAGTGATCCAAGTGTGTACAGTTAACAGTTATAAATGAGGAATCAATCGCTTGAAGTCATGATTCGTCAGCCCATCTTGTCCACACGCTCAGCACAACACAGGTATGGAACATCTTTAATTATCTTAGTAAATCAACACATGTGGCAGGGAGTTCCACATAGTGTTATAGTCTAAGGTATAAATGAACTCTTGGGGTATGTTTGATATAGACAAATACAGTGTGTGTGTGGGGATTCCATACACTGTTCGTCTTGTGTATCTATATGTTGACCTTCCTCCTCTTGGTAGCCACTCAGAATACTCTCGCTGTGATCCCCGTCTTGTACTCAGGTCAGAGGATCAGTAGTTGTGTCCACTGGCCCTGGCTGCTCACCCTTCACCACACATCTTCCTTCACCAATGATGCTGATCACGTGAAGGATCGGGAGGAGTTTATTCCTTCATCCCAACCAGTAGAATCTTTATCTTGTGTCGCATCAGATGTTGTTTTCTTTTGCCCCTCGAGGAAACAAACAATGCACAAAGCTACGTTATCGCCCTCTCTGATCTCAATTTTCCCGTAATGAAAATATTGACAAACTTAATTTAACTCCGATAATTTCCTGTGTTTGAAGTTATCCAGGGATTTTTTTTATCAGTAATCAATGATAAAGAGTTGGAGGGTATTGAACTGTGTAGATAATCTTGAACATAACCCTCTCTCCACGTCTGAGACTTTGAACCTAGTGAAACGAGTCTTCGACCTGCTTGTATCTCCTTGGATGACTACCTCCTCACTCGAGTTCTATACAGTTTCGAACAGGAATCATCAAGGAACATATTCTATTGACGATGTACATACGTCTATATTCACCACATACGAGTTTATTTATTTAGCCCAGGAAGTGTGTTTATTTACCCAGCGTCTTGCCTATAACCCCGTGCGGCTGAGGTCCTGATTGGCTTTATTACTTGAGAAACAAAACAACGGCTGTACTTACCGTGAAACACTACATCTCCACCTAGGTTAAGTGAGACCGTAGCCACTTTCCTTGTTATATTTCAATGGGATTTTTATTGGTGTTTGTGTTGATGTATATAGCTTAAATTTGCTGAAGGAGAAAGGGGAAAATATGTGTTTGAAAATTATAGATACAATGTTATGTCTGTTTACATTAGGGTTAGGGGCTCCGTGACTAAAGTATTTATTAGATCAAACGAAACACATACAAACTAACTTAACTCTGACTTACCTTACTTAACCTAACTTAACTTTGACTAACCTTACTTAACCTAACTTAACTTAAGGACCTTGAGTTATTTTTTAATAGTTTATGATTTTTTTTTAAGTGCATTCATTTCTTTTATTGTTAGAAATTATTAAGTTACGACACATTCCAGTTTTTAAATTTACGACACATTCCAGTTTCTTCAATTGAGACACATTGCAGATTCTAAAGTTATAACACATTCCAGATTCTTAAGTTACAACACATTTTATGAACTTACGACACATTCCAGAATCTTAACTTACGACACATTCCAGAATCTTAACTTACGACACATCCCAGAATCTTAACTTACGACACATTACCAATATCTTAAACTACGACACAATTTATTATCTTAATTTACGACACCTTCTAGTTTCAAAAGTTACGACATAATCTCAGCCTTTAGCATAAATTCCGACATATAATTATTCCAACAAAGAAGGTCGTGTGTGTCAGCCTCGTGTCGTCACATTAAATAAAACCGCTTGACATTATTCTTCTTCAAGTGTCATCTAATTTTAATTACAAGTCTGCAACATCGACCAACACGCTGTGAGTCTTTGCATGTTGCGAGAGGGTGAAGGCGGCGAAAGATATGAATTTTATTTGGCAAGAATCCAGGCAGGCAGACAGACAGCCGGGGAGATAGGAAGCTTGATAGCCAGCCGAGGACAGTGAGTTAGCAGGACAGAAAACCAGATAGACAGCTAGAAAGATAGAAAGCTAGATAGCCAGTTAAACAGTCACCCAGCAAGACAACCAGCCAGCCAGAGAGTCAACCATCCAGACAGACAGTCAACCAGCTAGACAGACAGTCAGCCAGACAGTAAATCAGCCACTTAAGTAGCCAGTCAGCCAGACAAACAGTCAGCCAATCAAGTAGCCAGACAGTCAACCAGTCAGACAGTCAGCCAGACAATATAGCAAGACATCTTTTATCTTCTCATCAGGTTTCTGTAATTAATTATTGGTTGCAATTTTAATCGCATCTTCATGTGTGTGTGTATGTGTGTGTGTGTATGTGTGTGTGTGTGTGTGTGTGTGTGTGTGTGTGTGTGTGTGTGTGTGTGTGTGTGTGTGTGTTTATCTGAAACTCACACGATGAGTACTTTTTTGTAAGTGAAGATCTAAGTGGTGTATAAACTTATTTGATTGTTTTAAGAACAAAAAATCTCTCAAAGTCTTACAAATTAATACCGAGGCTCTACCTTAACTATATACGTTCACTTAGCACCAGTTAGAAGACAAAATTAGCACCGAGACTCTACCTTAACTAGATACGTTCACTTAGCACCAGTTAGGAGACAAAATTAGCACCGAGACTCTACCTTAACTATATACGTTCACTTAGCACCAGTTAGAAGACAAAATTAGCACCGAGACTCTACCTTAACTAGATACGTTCACTTAGCACCAGTTAGGAGACAAAATTAACACTGAGACTCTACCTTAACTAGATACGTTCACTTAGCACCAGTTAGGAGACAAAATTAACACCGAGACTCTACCTTAACTAGATACCTTCACTTAGCACCAGTTAGGAGACAAAATTAGCACTGAGACTCTACCTTAACTAGATACGTTCACTTAGCACCAGTTAGAAGACAAAATTAGCACCGAGACTCTACCTTAACTAGATACGTTCACTTAGCACCAGTTAGAAGACAAAATTAGCACCGAGACTCTACCTTAACTAGATACGTTCACTTAGCACCAGTTAGGAGACAAAATTAGCACTGAGACTCTACCTTAACTAGATACGTTCACTTAGCACCAGTTAGAAGACAAAATTAGCACCGAGACTCTACCTTAACTAGATATATTCATAAGCATCGACAAATATTAAGGTACACATTTTTCTGAACAATTCTGCATATTAATTTTATCTTGTAAATAGTACTTCAGTTATAAGATATATTCCCGTACGAACCATTGTGAATATGTCGTTAAATGAAGCTAACACCTAGTTAGTTTATTTTATTTTATTGTTTGTTCACTAATGATCCAGTGCCTAG